TGGACCTGGGGAGACACGCACCCTGCTCCTGGACCTCCGGGTGACCCGCGGCCCGGGACCTGGGACAGGGGGGGGGGATTTATTGTAACCCGGCTGGACGGTGAAATATGCTGCAAACGGCATTGCTGTAAACAGTGCGTGATCCAGGAGGGCTTTTATGGAATACGCGCACCCCCGCTGAGGGGTGACACCCCCTGATTTATGGCTGTATTTAGATAAGACATCGCCGTAAATGGTTTCTAAATAGCGTCAAGGTCATGTAATGTAATGGGATAATGTTTGCAGACGGTGGTGATAAGATTATGTGTTTAATGTGAGAGGAGCTGAGGGGGTGAAGCATGGCCGCTGCAGGCCTCCTCCAAACCGCGGTGACCCCAACTGTGGTCACTTTATTAGTTGGTTCATTTAGATTTTTGGCGAAATAAAACGCGTAAAATGTTAGAAATTCTCTCCCAAAGTTCTGGACTGGAGTGTGGAATAACAGACTGATTATTTGATCATGACGCACACTTATTTTCTACATAAGAATTAAGCAACATTCTGCATTGATCAGATTTCTGTTCAATATTAAACCGAAACTAAAGGCTCACTTAGTCGATCTTAAATGATTAATCGAGTCTGCAAGAACTCCGTTAAAAAGCTCAAATCTAAAGGAGAATAAATACGTTTTCAGGTTGTAATGAAACGATTAAACGTCTCCCGTTTGGGAGCTGCGAAACACGTTTCATTAAAAATATTTTAGTCCTGAGATTAATGTGGGCATTTCTGAACGTGAAAAAAAAAGATCACGATTAATCTAAATCGTGCCACGACCATGAATGCCTCACGTGTTCAGAAATTAGAATACATGATGTTTTTCACTGTAGGACAGATGGAGCGACTTTATCCGAAAATAAAATCTTCATATTTTTTTGCAAAACAAAAATAAAGGAAAAAGAACCCGTCTCATTTCCAAATATTGTGCAGATCTATAAATGATCAGCAGCTGGCACCAGAGGCAGTGTGCACTTCTTCGGGGGTGTCTTGACGTTATTAAGGCAACATGGAGCGCGCGGGGCTCTCCAGACTCCCCTCCCATTGCGCGCGCTGTCCTCCATTGGCTGACTCCTCTCCACGCTGACATCCAAATCGTTTAAACCTGGGGCCTCACACCTTCATCAGGGTCAAATTTCGTGGGCAAATCAGCGTAGCCTCTTCAGGAAGCGGAGAAGAAAAAAAAAATCGCAACACCCAAACGGAGGCTGCGTCCTGCGCGAGACCAGCGCGAGACCAGCTCACCGGGACTAGAGACGCCTCACCGCGGATCCAAGCCCCCTCCATCCAGCCCACCATGGAAAACTAGCGATTTTCTCTTATGTTTGTTGTGAATCGACTGAAAGGAGTTGGCCTGTGCGTCGTGGATGAGTTGGCTCGGTTGTGAGTTCGCCATCAGAGAGCGCGTGAAGGCCCCGGAGGCACAGACCGACCGAGAGCGCGCGCGACCCCCGGTTCGACATGAACCTCATCGGCGGCTACCAGCATCACCACCACCTGATGCACGAGCCCTTCCCGTTCGTGCAGCGCTGCCCCCCGGACGCGCCCTACTTCCAGAGCTGGGTGGTGAACCACGGGGAGGGGCCCCCGGACTTCCACCTCCAGCCGCCCTACCCGCCGCCGGAGCTGGGGGGGCCGCCCGGCGCGCCGCACGACGCCCGCCTGGAGGGCCTCCAGCCCGGGGTGGGCAAGAGGAGAGCGTCGGGCCCCAAGAAGGAGCGCCGGAGGACGGAGAGCATCAACACGGCCTTCGCCGAGCTCAGGGAGTGCATCCCCAACGTGCCCGCGGACACCAAGCTGTCCAAAATCAAGACTTTGCGCCTGGCCACCAGTTACATCGCCTACCTGATGGACGTCCTGGCCAAAGACGCCGGGGAGACGGAGGGCTTTAAGGCAGAAATTAAGAAATTTGAAAACAGGGATTTGAAAAGAAAACGGGAGCTGGTAAGTTTTTTTTTGCTGGATCCTGAGAAGTGATTCTACCATTAACAATGATTTTCTTAGCCTAATTTATCCACAACAGGGTCAGAGTCTGAGATCTGAAGGCCTCTAAACGTTTTAAGGGAACCATTCACTTAGTCTTTTTAATTCTACGTCCCGTTATTTAGCTCCAAATAATCCCAAATCGAAATGTTGAGTTATTCCATTTTCTTTGACCACTCCAATGTGTGTTTTGGGGATGAACACAACTGGAACGAGGTCACAGCATCCCTGACCTCAGTCCTCTAAATGTGGACGTTATGTCTGAAAATAGCCGTAAACAGAAATATTTGAAGCCTTTTAAGGCTTTTAAATGGATTATTGAATAGAAGAAAAAAATAAGGAAGTCTACAATATTAATGAGCCGTTTTATTTTTAACAGGCCACCTATTCTTATTCATCATATTGCAGTAATAACGTCATAATAACCGGTTATATTTACTCTTAAGGGAAAAACTAAGATATTTAATATTCATCCATCATTTTTTACACCATCCTCAGAGCCACTTTTTCCATTGGCAGTTCAGGGCCAAACAGCAGATCAGATAGGGCCAAAGAGCCCGTGACGCTCACGCGCCTCTAACACTATTTTACATTATAAGGACAGTTTTCTTGAGTGTGTATATATATAATTTCCTCACTGTGTACGATTTCACCATTTTTCTGAGCACATCATTAGTTTATATTGAATAATTGTAGACATATAGAGGGGCTAAAACCAATCCGGGGGGGGTTGGAACATTAAAATCTAACCATGGGGACTGGGGTCTGGAACCCGCTGCTGACGGTGTGTGTTTGGGTGTTTTTTGGCCCCCTTCTCCCCACAGAGCGAGGGCCTGCAGGAGTCTTTAGGAGCCGAGAAGAAAGTCAAGGGTCGGACCGGGTGGCCGCAGCAGGTCTGGGCTCTGGAGCTCAACCAGTGACCCCCAAACCCCCCCCTCACACCCCCTCACACCCCCCCTCCTCCACCCCGGGCACCGCATCCCAGAACTGCGTCCAAACCTGATCCAATCAAACCGAAAACGAAGAGAAAAAACCCCTAAACCCGACAGCCACAGACTGAAAACGCCGCTGTGCACATCTGGCGACGGGGGGGGGGGGGACAGGAGGAACGGAGCGCGTGGAAGTGCGCGTGGTGAGGACGGGAGCGCGTGGAATTGCGCGTGGAGGACGGGAGCGCGTGGAATTGCGCTTTAAGGAGCGCCGGGATCAACATTAAACTGTAGCTGTTCCATATTTGTGGGTTTTTTTTCTGCTTGTAACGTGTCCGCGGCGTGAACATCTGTCTCTCCACGCAAAACGTGTTTCCCGCGTGGCATTCTGACAAAAACCTTTGGGATAAATTCAGGGTAGAAACACAAACGGGCTGGGAATCCTTTCCATTTTATTTATGAGTATTATTTCAGTAAAAGTAGAATACCGTGGCAGATTTTTTTCCATTGCCTGAATACACAATTTTGCTCAACAAAATTAGTGGATTGGTCAGTTTTTTTTGTTTTTATTGACCAGTTGGAAATGTGTTAAAGGGCCCAGCTCAGTTGGGTTTTGAGTGGCCACAGTTTAGCCTCTTTCTCTCATTTCCTGCCATTAGGCTATGCTTAAATAAAGTAAAAACCCACTCAGAGTCCAGAGTTAGTAAAAGGTTTTTCCACCCCTGAGTGTTTGGTCGGGATTTTGGTTTTTAGGCCTTTTGGAAAGCAGCTCGCGCGCGTTGGCGCAGCCTCAGAAGGTCCTGCGGGTCAGTTACTGCATTTTCTGAATCTACCTCAACCCTTAAATGTCACTGTCCGCTGGGGCAAAGAGTACTATCCTAGTTTTTTTTTTTTTTTAGAGGGGCTGAATGTTCAATTAAGTGTCACTCCGACCTGTAAAGCTTCCAGTTTAAAAGGGAAAAAAGGTTTATTGTTGCTGCAGTGCTGATGGAAATGTGTATTAGATGTGAACTTATATATGAAACCATAAATAAATTAATTATTTTAAGAAACACGGGTTGTGGGTTATATTTAGATAGGTCTTTAAAAAGCCTGTTTACGACTTTTTTGTTTTTCAATTATTAGATTTAGCGGTGATCTTTTAGTTTTCAGTATTATTTCTGTGGGACGTTTCTTTGTTTTTACGCGCGTGTTTTGGAGGAAGAAAGAGTTCATCTAATTTAATGCAGCCTAAAGGTTCTGATGATATAAAGGAAACACGCAAGGCAAAAGTCAATTGGTGCAATTAAAGTCAAATGAATTTAATGTAAATGTTAGCTTTTTGAACTATTTAATCTGTTTAAAATATGGAATCAAAATCTGTGATTTGCAGATAAGCGACTAAACTGGGTGGATGACGATTGTTGGTGTTTTCACTCGTGAGTCCTAATTTTTAAAGACTTCAGGATATTTTAAAAACTTTACTGAAGATTTAAAATTGGGTTTCCACATTTTCCTATTAATAATTTCTGACTAACTTTTCTCTTTTTTATCTAAATCCAGTCAAGCTTTATTTTCAGTGGCCTCACGTCGTATATCCAACATCATGTCCATTTATCAAAAATTTTAATCAATAATTTATACTATTCAACAATTTTTAGCAAATCTAATTTAGGATTTTAATTCATCGCCAATTTTAACGTAAATACTTACAACAAAATTATTTCGGACATTGTCTTTGGGTCATTTCTTTATTCTAGGTTGATTATTTTTTATTATGCTTTTCTTTTGTTGTTGTTTTGTTTTTTCATCCATTTTTATCGAAAATGCGCTGAAACTTGTCTAAAATGTAAAAACCTTAGTCCGGATTTCAGGATGACCCTAAAAGCAGAGCCAACAGCGACACCTGCTGGACACTGGCTGCTACAACAACAAAGGACAGAGAATACCTTTAAAGAAAAAAAGGATAAATATTTATTTCTAACACAAGCAATATTTCAGTATAAATCAAGGTGTTTTTGACATTTAAAACAACTTAAAGGTTAACAGTTAAGAAAGACCGGAATGTTTCTTCTCTTTGTATATTTATTATCATTAAGAGCAGTAACAGCCATATTCAATTAGATTTATTTTCAAATACAACAGTTAAATGAGGCATGACCTATATGTTAATAAAAAAAAATGGCATCATCTACATGAAACTAACAAACTTATAAGCAGAGTTAAAAAAATAAAATAAAATAAAAAGACACTGAAAGATCCCAACAGAAATCTCAAACAGCTAAAAGTAAATGTAGTCATACATTCATCTACGGGGCTAAAACGGATGGTTGTGTTCATGTCAATAAATAAGCATAACGTCTGGATACCTCTGCAGTGCGTTTGCGGTTTGCACGCTACAATTTGAAGAGGTGGTGGATGGGCACATTATTCAAAATGTTAGCATACAAATGAACTTTCTGTTCTTACTGGAAACGCTGCCAAATGAACCCTGTTTGACCAGTTCAGCGGCCAGCAGGATTAGCCCACTCTGAAAATGAACAGTGTAGAAGTACGCGATCTTTAAGCTGTGTTTATTCCTAATTCTGCATCAGTTGAACTGATATTGTGTCGTTAAATACAAGAAAAAGAAAGTGAACTATCATTGTTACGTTTCCAACTTTCACTTCATGTGAAAATGAAGACAACCTAACAGAAGTCAAATGTGCATTCAACTTTTAAGAAAAAAAAGAGACTTGTACAATTAAGGCTGAACTAAACAAAAAACAACTGATACAATGATTGAATAAATGCTGGTAAAAACGGAGGAAAAAGAAAAAAATGAACAAAAACAAGCATGAGCAAACAAAACCAATGCAGGAAGTGGGTCATAGTGACATAGTGGATCTTCCTGGATTGTTAGTCACTCGCCATCTCTGAAAGTGGAACTCATCTGGGTGACAGGAGGCCACTTTTTTCCCCCCATTTCAAAATACTTTAGACATTGATAACGACCTGTTCGCGTCTGGACTGGACTCCTGAAGTCAGATCTTGTACTTTTTCAGTGAAGACAGTGGGACTTTCCAACAATTTATTCATCACAACAAAACACACAAAGAAAAAAAAACACCAGAATCTTGCCCAGCCACATTCACATTTAGATCAGTTCCTTGTTTGGCACCAGCCGCCTTCCCCTCTGAATGTCGACTCAGCAAACCAAAGAAAAACATTGTTTCTCATCTTAAGGCAGTTTAAATCATACATATATCTCCGCCGTGTAGCTTGTGATCGGATGCCGTTTGCGCACATATAGACTAATATAGAAGGAGGATGTAAAACTCTGCAGAGTCCTGGTCCTCGACAGTCTGTGTAGACCTGGTTTCTGTGTGGAGTAAATACTTCGGAGGATGAGAAGTGTGGCGATAATATGACGCTGCGTTTAACAAGCAGGCGAAATTAGTCAAAGCAGAGTCAGCCCACTTCCACTTCTCCTCCACTTTTCTTTTTTAAATCGCTCTCAGAAGACAGTAAAGGTTTGTGTTTGGGCCTCACAGAGGAAGGAAAGGGGGGGGCAAAAGCTGTGCAGGTGGACCTGTTTTGGTTGCTGCTGCGATACATTTTCTTTCTTCAGGTTTTTGTGTGTAGTTGGGAGCTGCTGTGGTGGTGGGGGCTTTGGGGGAGTGGTCAGTCCAGTGGTTTCCCTCCGTCCCCTTTCTGGTCCAAGCGGCTCTTGCTGCTCTTCACCATGTAAATAAAGTAGTTCAGCGTTTCCTTCTCGTTCACAGTGATGTTCCTGAAGTGACGACTCACCGTCTGAGGGAGACAAAGAGAAACGGGTCACGCTCGGGTGCGTCGCCGCGGCAACCGAGGTCATTTCTGCATGGGGACCTACGGTCCGGACATTCCTCTCAGAGAACGGCACACGATGCAAAAAGAGCACATGGGAAAAAGCTATTTTTGGTTCAAGTACACAGAGGATGAAGCTCCCACTGCAACTCATCTGAGTCAGAAAACACAACTGAAAAAGCTCTAAGACATGAGACCACAATAAAGATCTAGTCTCAAAACCGGGAGACGGTTCAGTCTTTAAATAAATAATTAAAAAGCGCACACAAATCTCCGCGTGCCTCACAGGTTAGGGGGGAAGCTGGGAGGTGGTGTTATCTGTGCGGTGGTGCTGATTCATGGGCTGTTAACTGCTGCTTTATTGATGACGCGGGGGGGGGCTCCGGAACGGGAGAGTTCTGAACCCGGGCGTAGGTCTGGGGGAAACATCCAGCTCACGGCCCAGTTTCACATCATTTGTTCCCGCGGCTGGCTCAGTGAGTGAGTCCAGCCGGGTCTGCCCACAGAGCCTCACCACCTCTCCACGACCCGATCCTGAGAGTGAGGACCCACCGCACTATCACAGTAACGGAGAGACACAAAGAGGTGGGGGCAAAAAGCCAGTGAGGCTGTCGGCATTACCCCTATTATGACCCCAAAATATACACCGATTAGTATTAGGGTTGTCAAAAGTATAAGATACTCAAAAAAGTATTGATAGTAAAACATTGTACCCGGATACGATCCTCATTTTCAAAAGTATCCAATAGGAAGATCCCAGGCAAGAAAATCTTAATTCTTTCATGGAGATATAGACATTGATTTAAAAATAGTGAAATCAATCTTGCAAACACTGAATTAAACTCTATACATAATATTATGGTAAAATAGTGGATGTTAAATAGGTTTGTACAATAAGTCCAAACTTTAAAGTTTAAACAAAAAATATATATTTCTCACAATTATGAAGGGTGGAGGGTTAGGGTTAGGGTCAGGGTTAGGGTCATTAATGCAGGCCACCGGCCACCATAACATCAGTAACAGGTCAGTTTGAAACCAAAGAAACTAACCTGTCGAAATTCAGTTACATTTTGGGGTCTTTGTTTTTATCTTTGTGATATCGAAAATGGTATTGAATATTTTCCTGAGTATCGGTATCAAGTTGAACATTTTTGTATCGTGACAACCCTAATTAGTATAGCACCAAGTCTTAATTTATGTATGGCAGTGAGGGAGATAACTGATACCAGTTACACATACTATCATGCATGAATCAGCTTGTGGTCATTCATCACTGACGTAACCAAAAGGATCCTCCTTATGTTCCGGAAAATGTAACACAATCCGGTCATCACAAGTAAATAAGTTATCAGTACACTAAAAGTCCCATTACTGTTACAGCAGTGCTACATAGAAAGCAGATGAGGCTAGGGATGTCCCGAGCCAGTTTTTTGCACTTCCGATCCGATACCGATCCCGGCCTATCAGAGCATGTGTTAAAGTTTAAAGTTATTTAGCTACGTACTTAGCTGTCAGACTCATAATGAACAGGGATTTACTCTTATAACAACTTAATGGTTAGGACACAGACCTGTGGGTTACAGATGCTAATGCTAATGCTTGTGTGGGATCGGACTTAAAAGAAAAACTGGATCGGCAGTCTGGATCTGCTTTTTCTCCTGCCGGCTGATACGCAATTTTTAGTGAATATCGGCAGGCGATCCGGTCCAGATATCGGATCGGGACAAGCCTAACTCAAACCATAGCGCGGATGGCTTTTAGCCTGTTGGGGCAGACAGGATCCATCACCAGAGTGGCAAGAGGAAAGGTGGGGGACTTGCTATCCTTATTGACAACGAGCTGGGTCATCTTGGACATGTTACCGTAAAGAAACGTGTGTGTGTACGGGACAGAAATTGAACTGCTCGACCCTTAAGGTCTCATTCCTGATCATCCTGCCTGTTTTCCACTCGACTGACGCCACCAAACTCCAATCCCAGCACCCCTGTGCACTCATTGCCATATCTGAGGACGTAAATCAGATCACTCTGGCCACTACACTGACCACCTTCAAGCAGTTTGTGGACTGTCCCACCAGGGAAAACACGACACTCCGGTCCTGCTATCTCCACTTCCACATGTGGATAACCTTTTTTTGAGGGTTCTACAACTGAAATGGCCTATAAGCAGAGATTCTTCAAACTTTAGAGTAATCCCAATAAACCTGTGTGCTACGAACAAATGGACTAGACTCAGTCTCTAATTTCAATTATTAAACTTCTGATACTGTGATGCCTACATAGACCAGTGAGCAGTGCGGACCAAAATGTCATTGGGGTCATCGGGTGAAGGAAGAACAAGACACACTCATCCAAAGAGCCCAAGCGACAACTAAAGCTAAACTCAGCTAAAGGCCTGGTGTAAATATCAAATAGTGCTAGTGTCAATAAGAAGAACAAACATACTAAACTCATCTAAAATGGACACCTGCTTTCAGAACAGGCCTTTGCAGACCAGTCCTTCCAATTAAATCCACTTCCTCTTCCTGGAGCTCTTCCTTCCCAGTGGTCTTTCTATCAGAAGTGCTCCCCCTGCTGGACACCTAGCTACTACACTCACTGACCTTCCCCTCACTATTTTCCCTCACACTCTGTCCCCTTCAACTCACCTCCCTCCACAATTAGACGACAGACCTCTTCTAAATTGTTTCTGCCACCAGACAACTCTAAACTTTTCTTCCTTGCTGCTCTGCTTCTGCCACTAAATTCACATATCTACAATTTTGCCTTTCATGTGACTCTCTACCAAACTCTGTGAATTGACTAGACTTAATCCGACTTGCGTGACTGACTTCTTAAACGGAACCAAATAATGAAACCCCCAGGCCCTTCTTCTACAACACACCTCTTTCTCCCCCGATGCATCTCAATGCCTCTTACTGATGTGGATCTCTGCCAGTCACAAGGACAAAGAACCTTTTCCCCTCTATCCGACCTCTTTTATATACTTTGTCCAGCTCTAGCCCAAGATAATAGGTTCCCAACTCAAACTAATGGACACCACATGTACCCTACCCACACTACACCTTTCTACCCTGCTCTTGCTCACCTCTGGGGTATTCTCCTTAGATTAGTTGTAGATTATGTTGGTTGTAGGCCTTGCTATTGCTGCCATGGGTTGCTAAACCATTGCTAAACTCCTGTTAGCTGCTGCATTCGCTGCAGCCACTAGCTAGCACTGACCAAAAAGTAAAAACCTCGGTTATTTCTGGGAAACTTACCTCTGCCAGTTGTGCCTTGTTGAGACCAGGCCTGGTCTGCAATTTGTAGTGTCGCTTGTAGCGTCTCAGTGTGTTGACCTGCAGCTGGAAAAGGTCCACCTGAAGCCACCAACAAGAGCCGCGATTTAGGGGGTCGCTCAGAATACAGATCTATAATCTACAGGTCTACAATTACACTGACCTGAGCATGACTGAAAGCCTGAGGCAAAGCTCTCACATGCCAAGAATAAATACATTGATAAATAGAATGAAATAAATGTTCAGACTAAAGTAATGGGTGACAAAGAACAAGAAAATGACTAAACCGGTAGCTGATGTGGAGCAGAGGTTCTCTGTCTAGCTACTGTGGTTCAGTCATGTCTTTGGTGTTTGCTGACTTGTTCTCGTTTTACCTCAGGCACCTCCACATCGTGATCTGGTGATTCTCCCCCATCGTCGCTGGTCTTTCTCTTTCTCTTATTGCGAACACTCTGGATGAAATTCTTGTGAAAGTCGCAGATGTAGAGATGCCGCACCTGCAGAGGAAAAAAGGAGACGTTAAGAGGGGAAGTTGGACTGGAGGAAAATCCCTGTAGCCTTTTTCTCACAGGATAGTCTGAGGATCAACGTTGACTAATGGTCCGAACTCATTATTACTTCAAATCTAACAGAAAACTAACACATTTGTAGAAAATTATCTTAACAGAAGCTACAGTAAAGGAACTTCAGGACCTGTTTGGGGTCCTGAAGTTACACAACACGAAATGTGATCACATTAAGAACACAATATGCAAACTCTTCTACTGTGGTAAATCAAGCAGAGATTTGTCTGACTGACAATACAATACTGAAACAACGGGACAGTTGATGGTGTTGCCTCTACAGAAATGCTGTATACTCTTTATTTTATTGTATTTACAAAAACAACTGATAATATCTAGATTTAGTGTAAAAGTGCAAGTCCAAAAACTGGAATCACCTCAATAACTAGACATAAAAAATAAAAAATCGACATATTGATCAGTATTTAATTCTTAAGAAAAGGGTCCATTTCTTGGATTCTGACTAGCTTTGACCTACTGCGCATGTGCAGTCGCGGTCACACTGACATTAAGCAACAATGTAAACTTTTCCGGCAACTGATACAGAAAAAACAATGGATTCAAGACGGAAAGCTGAGAGTTAATGTGGATTTTATTTTTAAATCGTTATTCATATGCAGCCACTAGGTTATCTGAAGTTAGCTTGACTTTTTCCTATACTTCCATCACACTTGTTTCGATCAACTTCTACTCGTTAAAGTCGAATAAGCTTCCAGCGGATGAATCTGACAAGGTTATATCTGACTGTAAACGTCCTGTAAACAAGGTTTTTGGCGTTCAACAATAAAATAAGGATGCCTTACGCTCTTGTCAATGTCCAGTTTGAGTTTCTTCTGCGATATGCTCTTCTGGATCCGCTTGCTGAACGAGGCGTTTCCAGCCGAGCGGCCGCAGCGTTCTCCGTCCTCTATCAGGCAGCAGCTCTGGCCGTAGAACGGCGGGGCCGGCGGCCCGTCGTGGCTGTCCTCCTCTGTGCTGAAGCCATTCATCGTGCGGCACCGCGACGGCCTTCGAGCGGCTCCACAAACAATAACAAGTTGCTTAAACCGAGCGAGGTGCCCAGCGTCGAGTCCAAACGTCGAGCCCGACACCGTTAGCTAGTTAGCTAGCTAGCTAACTCCGCTAAATAGCCAGTTTTTGGGGAGTTAGCAGACCTCGCAATGCGTAATTGACGGCCGGCTAATTCGAAGCGAGTTGTCTCCAAGTGGCGCATTCATACAAACCTCTGTCAGATTAGCATCACAGAGAAATTCGCAGATACCGCTGGTTAGCCGTAGCGCTAGCTCCGCAGCAATGTGTTGGAGATGACGGCGAAATTCCTGCGGTGAGATCAACGCGGTTTGTCCCACCGGTTGCTTTTTCTTTGTGAGCCACGGCAACCTCGATCTGTCTAAAACAGCAACAGTCCCAAGAACACTGGATTTCAATTTGAGAGAATTCGGCGTCGTACTTCCACAATCACAGTTGTCTTTCGGAACAGCACTTACAATGGAACACACTGTGTCGGTGTGGCGGAAGTTTCCGTCCCGGCCGGTGATTGGTCACTTTCACGCGGAGGCGGGGTCTCTTTTCGCGATCTACGACCCCATTGGAGGGGATAAACTTCAGTCGGCAGTTTGTTTCTTCCTATTTCCCTCGGCGTCGATTGTTTTTTTTCCATCACGAATTGAAGTTAAAGATGGCGTTGTCAGATCAAAATGGCTTGTACATCTCAGCAACGCATTTTCAACTCTGTTGCCCCTTTTTAACGTAAAGTTAGAAAGCACACAGGGCTGGTGTGATTAGTTTTATAAGTCACAACGAGGGAAACCCACAGTATGGAGGTCCTTCCCAATAGTCAGACTTTGGACCTCACTGACAGGAAAAATGCCATTCTGTAAACAATTTCTCACTATGTCCTACAGTTTGCCACCAACTCAACTATTTCTATGAGTTTATGCATGATGCACAATCACTTTAGAGAACTTCTTAATGTCCTTTCATTCTGGGTCGAAACAGTGTTTTACATTTAAACGGATTTAACGCTCCACAGTGTAGGTCCACATTCCAACGCAGGACGGAGACAAAAACACTCAAATTAGTATCAGTCCGGGAGGTGTTGTAGGAAATTCTGTCCCCCCAGGTGTCGGGAGCGCGCACGGACGCGGATTCCACACTTCAGACTTTCTGATCAATATGTCTTTTAAAGACAAAGTAATAATAAGTTATCATTCTAAGGTTGATGTTTTATCTTTGAACATATATTTCCAGCTAAAAAACAACCTTAAACATGTTTTGTTTGTCACACAGTTCTGAATTTTTGTTATTTATGCGCTAAAAGAACCACATTCTTTGCGTCGTGTTTATTGATTTATTTGATTATTGATTTAAAATGCTGTGAAAATGAATATTCCATTAAAGGCCCAGTGTTTTCCACATTACCGTGGGTGCTGTGTGAGCTCCTGGTACCAAAATTCCACCCAAATACTGTCGGCGTTCGTTTTTCCACAATTTAGGTTGTATCTGAAATATTCCACCTTTGATTTTAAAAAGAAGCACATTTATGGGGTTATGATTGTATTTTTTAACCTTGTCCTGCTCAGCTTAATGGCAGCAGAGCTGGAATCTGATCACTGTTCCATGCTGAACACATCTGCTTTACCAAGAAAGGATTAATGGCTTAATGGGCGAAAAGCCCCTCTTGATTATCCAACGCTACTTTAATTATTTATTTTTGTTGCAAAACTGTACATGTGTCCAATAACGCTGAAGCTGACATAGGGACAGGGAAGAAAGTAGAGCAAAGAGAAACAAAGTAACCCCAAAAGGAGAAAGATCCTTCAGACAGAGAGAAAAATAAAAAAGAAAGACAACAAAAACACACAACCAGCTGATGTGTAAAAAAACAACAAAAAAACATCCTGTGGTTCATTGTGGGAAATCCAGACAGAGAACACAGGGGGGACAAACAATCAAACAAAAAAAACATGCAATAAACACCATAGGAAGCAACAACACTGACAACAAGGACATAAATAATCTCAGAATTGTGGGATTCTAGATCTTAACAGTTCTAGTCTGGAATGTGCTTTTTGGTGCAAAGCAGAATAATAAACCGTCTCAAACGGAGAAGAACCAGCTCTGCTTTGACAGAAAAGATTTGCACCCCTACAGACCTCTGGATCTCCATCTGATGGCCTGCATAAAGTGTCTTCACACAGCCAAGGTAACCTGGAAAGACCACCTCGGGTGTTAAAGGCTGAGAGGGAAGCTAACAACTGGAGCTGAGACTCTGATTGCTGGTGCTGCTGGTGGGAAAGACGTAAGATAATACAGAACTTTCCAAAGGACCCAGTCCTAATCCTAACCCGTACCTCTATCCCCCTACATCTCCTTCTGTAGTCCCTCTACCTCTATCTCTATCTCACCACTGACTCTGATCAGTGTTTCTCCTCTATGTAGCTTATTGTCATAGTGATGAGAAATGGAATATTGTGTCTACTCTGTACGTCTTTAGATAAATGCATCTGCCAAATGCATAAACATAAACACATAAACCCAGTAGCAGATGTGGGAGACGACATTGTGCAAATTCTGGCTGCACATAAAATCATCAGTATTTCTAGTAGTGTAGAGTAAATGTAAGTAGTATGTACCTATACTTAATCTGTATTTTTTGTTTTAGTTTTTTGGCATTTTGGAATGCATTTTGTTCTCTGTGTACCACTTTTTTGCCCTGTAAGCTGCTGGTAACTTTAATTTCCTGAGGGAGTCTTACCAAGGGATCAATAAATTACAAGTCTAAGTCTAAGTCCAAGTCTATCAAGACCCTTGTTCTACTCCTGGGATCTATAACGATGTCGTGAAACAGCAGCCTGGGGTGCAGCAAGACTTTAGGAAGTGGTTTTATCCAGTCAATAGATGCTGAGGCGTGTAAGAGGAGCCCTCCACCACCAGTGCAGGGAGATGAGAGATGCAGCTAAAAAGCCTTTCAGGTGTGTGTGCCACAAACTCCGTAAGGTATCATTGACTTTTTTCATTTCTTCTGGGACCGCAGACATTATTACAAGGCAGATGGTCGCTGCCTCCACGGATCGGGAGTAATTCTGTTTGCTGTTTATCCTTTCTGTGTTTGGAGTTGCAATGCTGCTCCGCTGATGAAAGACCCGAGACCCCGGTGTCCAAAACCCCCTCAAAAGCAGAGAAACCATCACCTCTGAAAACAGCCGGCTCAGTGATTGGCCAGTTCAAACTGACCAGTGTGGGTTCCAAGCGGAGAACCCGTGGCTCTTTCCAGGAAAAGCCGGTCCTGATGTGGAAAAAGCTTCCTCCATCCCCATTTAAACACATACCAGACAAAGATTAGTCCACCTTCAAAACCCAAAATATTCCCTACATGATTTATTATTCATGTTCACTTCCCATCAGCCCAAGCCAGCCCATAATACCAACACACTGAAACTAGCTTTACTAGATGTTAGATCTTCAGCAGGAAAAACCTGTTTGATTAACTATTTTATTTCATCTGGAAGCTTTGATTTGATGTTTTTAACCTAACCCGACAAAAAACATGGCGGAGGCTAGTCTACCTCCCTTTAATTTACCATCTAAAACAGGTAAAAACCAGAAGGGTGGGGGGAGCTTGTGCCATATTAAGGGACAATGCAATACACTCACACAAACTTTAATTAGTTTTTTTCATCTTTTGAGTATGTGTCATTCAAGGAGAGAAAACAGTCTTCCATTCTTCATATAAACATCTACTTAACTGTTTCATTGATGATTTTACTGACTTACATTCAGTTGTGTGCACTGATGTAGACGGTTTGGTCAGAACGGGGGATCTGAATGTGGATTGTGAAAATGTGTTGTACAGAACTCACTGCTGTCCTTGAGATGTTTGGTCTAACTCACCCACACAGCAGCGGACATTCTGAATGTGCTCATTTCAAAAGGTTTGGTTATTTCAAATGTGTTGTTAATGTTGCTTTGTGGGATCATTTTGGTGTTTTCTTGGACCTGTCTGCTACACCCACACTAGTAGTTAATCACGGTTTATGGAGATCATCAGGTTTGAAGGTGTTCTGTGCTCTAATGTTGATGGTCTGTTGAAATCTTACACAGAAAGTGTTTGAAAGGTCTGGATGCCATTGCTCCTGTCGAGGTTAGACAGTTAAAAACAGACTAAAGGCACCATGGAGAAAAGAAGACTCGGTATTGGGAAATAAAAGAGGGAGTACTGGAGAGCTGAATGGAAATGGCTCAGGTCAAAGCTCCAGGTTCATTTTGAGATCTACAGAGAAAAGTTGTGTGTGATTAACCAGACTTCGCATAGAAGAATAGAGCGTTATTTTTTCTGAAATCATCAAAAACGGCAGAAACAAATCTCTTGTGTCCTGTTAGCTTTAGTGAGCAGACTAACACACCCACCAGTCTCACTGCCCTCAGGGCTCATTTCTACATTTAAATGTCAGTTTTTGGAATTAAAAATGCATTTTAAAGAATTTCTAATGAGCATAAAACAGTTGAGAGATTAAAAAATGTAACATTTTTGCATTTGATACCTCAGAATTAGTTGAATTGAATTCGAAATCAAAGACATTCATGTCATTGGAGGCTTTCTGTATGGAAACAAGGCTGGTTCAAAATATCCTGAATGTTAGCAAATATATAAGAGTGACCAATAAGAAAAGCCACAGCAGGCGTCCTTTTGAATATGAGTATCATTCTGATTTATAAATGGAGTGTCTGGGTCAAATGTAGCCGGAGGATAAGGATTACTTATTCATGATACGACTGATCGGGTCTAAAGACAGATGATATTGAACTGTAGAGAATGAATGGCTTCCATTTGACCAATTTACATGCAGTAATACAATAATGACATTTTCTTTCTTTATTTTATTCTTTTATTTGTAAAAGTCAGCATGTTCAAGTCAAAGACATACCCCACATTTGTCAGATGACTCCGGGATAGGCTTCAGATCCCAGGATCCTGAATTTGACTACACCTTTATAGAAAACGGATGGAGGATGTTACTATTGTCCACCATGTTGGTTGGCATTCATCACATTTTTTTTTTCTTTAATATAAACCACAGACAGATTTTTCCTCAAAATATAGAAACCTTTATATTTTACATGTCCAGAAAAAATATTCTACATTTCCAGTTGAATTATATAGTTTGTTAAATACCTAAAAACATTTCTAGCTTTGATATCAGTAGAAAAAAATAGTGGACATTTTGTTCTGATACAAAAACGGCCCTCTCTCATACATTAAGCTTCACACACAGACCACATTATGTAAGGGGCTGACGCACGCTTCTGACATGATAAGCCTACGGTTTAGGATTGTTCAACCACAGACTTTTAAAAGTTTCATGTTGCTGTGATGAATTTTGTCTGAACGCATCATTATAGATTCATTTTGTACGACTTTTTATATTACAGTAAATCCTATATGGCATCATATGTATCATCTGTTATTTTGAATTAATGACTAAATATTTGTTTAGTTGAATTGTATTTTTACATTGTCACACAGGCATTAGTCATGATTTATATACCTGTAAAACAATTAACGCAACACAAAGAAGGAATAATTAAAATGCAAACTTTCACCATAAATATTGAAACCAAACAAAGTGACAGCTTCATGTAAAGAAAACTACAAATGCAATGGACGAGTACAACGCAACAAATACAGGCAATAAAACAAAAAATGAACAAAACAAAGGACAAAATTCAGAAGCTTACGATACCGCAAAAAGTAAAGCAGAAAGTAAATTTCATGTCAGCCTAAAATAGCTGCTTAGGAGGAAGAATGGATACAGTAGTTGCACAAAGGTCCACAACAATAAGATCATTATGTTTATCATCCGCCTGAAAGATTAGTTCAACATAATTGTCATCATTACCTACTTTTACTGGTGACTGACTGAAATTATGGAGGAAGATATATATTAAAAAAGCCAAGTTAGTTAACTGTGAATTAAATATGCAAGTATTTGGATTTTTGAAGTGCTACACAACATTGTTTTAGCTCAAAATGTTAAACTCTGTCCATTCTGGGATGTACCAACATCTAAGGAAAATATCTGACTCTAGCTGTTCAGATTGTTTCACTGTTTGGACCAAGGGACTCAGCTGCACTGTGGATTTACCAAAGTTTGTTTACTGGGTATTTAACAAGGCATTTAAACGGTTACAATAGGAATGGTTTAGTTATATATAAGCCAGTTTCATATGTTGCGAGTACGATATTAACTAAAAAAAACAAACACAAAAAACACTGGCTACACCTTTGAAAAATATAACTAAGATGCAAAAAGACTCCAAATTGCATCCTCTCAAACACCACATTGTCTCCAAGTTCACTACCTGAGAATTCCCTCTTGTAAACAAATACTTCTGTAATATTGCATTTAAAATTCAGGGCTCCAGAAGTACACACGGCAACAAAAAGAAACGCAGCTGGGCTCAAAGGAATAAAGGATGTCTGTTCAATTCCAAACAACCTTCCTGCTCATTTTCTGTTTTTCTAGCAGTGAGCTTTGCCGGCCGTGCACTCAACAATCTGATATGTCTTCAAAGGAATAGAAAAACAATAAAAATAAAAATAAAAAAGGCTCCATGACTGACAAAAAGTGAGTGGAAACTAAATAGCTTCGGTTCTGATGCATAGTAGAAGTTGCAGAACCATTAAACAGAAAAGTCGGTTTCAGATTTTTCCGACGTAGTTCCGTCAGTGGAACATCGTTAATGGTTCCTAGAACAGAAATACCATGACCACGTGCACATGAATGCTCTTGGGTAACATAAGAGCAATATATTCAACTGAGAACAGGAATGAGAGTGGTGGCGGCGTAGCCTTGAGGTGGGAGTGCGACTATGAGGCCGCAGGAGTGCTAACGTGTTGGAAGGATAACATTTTTTATATGAAGAGAAGGTTGCACACTGCTGCAGAAGCATGACAAATGAGATCTATGAAAGGAATGAAATAACAAACTATAACAAAATAGTAAAAAAAACATTTAAAAAAACCACTAACCCTATTTCCTCACTATTAAAATCCATTGCAAGATTTTAATAACACATTCTCAAATCCCAAAATGATCCATACCAGCAGATAACAGAGATCTATCAAGACATTAAAGAAGACAAACGTATCACAGAAGAGCAGCCAGGGGCACACCGTACAGGCCGTTAACACAGTGGGCTTGACCACGTGTCAAACTGAGGGGAGAATAGTCTCTGGATTCAGGGTTCGAACAGGCCACATGCCTGCTGAGGTTTAGTCGATGGCGCTAACAAAGCTACCGCTACAGCTACACAGTAGTCTGAATCAACAGTCCACTCCAAAAACTTCACATACAATCTGACTGTAAGTCCACTGTCTTGGCAAGTAACCAGCAGATAAGGAAGTAAAACACACCAAAAAAAAAAGAATTAAATGAATACGTTTTTGTTGTTATTGGAAGACAAAACTCAGGATTTTTTTTTCCGACAACACAAAACAAATAAAGAAAAAGGAGTTTTGTAAGAGGTGAAGTGACAATTTAAAGACATTTTCGGATTGATCCTTAATAAATTGTTTGCCTTTGAGTAACTAAGTTTGAAACTGAATTATCTGAAGTAATTCCCATGTGTTTAAACTTTTACGGTAGACCTAAATGAAAGTTGTCGAGTTGCTCCTCTCAAGAACTTGATGGTTTGGTGGCATAATGGTAAGAAACCATTTAATTTAGCTTAAATAAAAAGGGTTTTCCAGTAAATTCTGGTCAGTAACTTGACTGACAAGTGACTTCCTCATAATCTGAATGAGCTATTTCAACTTTTGGTGGTTCAAGGTGGATAATGATAAAATTATTTCTGTCTGAGCTAATTGTAGTCTGGATAGAATTTTTGATGGCGATAGTTTGGCTGAAAGAGATGCAGGTGTTAGTGTGTTAGGACTGCACAATATGTGCTTCACTTCACACATTGTGATGCACATTAGCAGCCAACTCAAATAAGCAAAAACATCAGCCTGTAGTGCACGTTCTCTCCATGCTGCAGACCACGCTGTGATCCCTGGGGCAGAAAAATCAAGAGGAATTTGATCTGAAATATGTACTCCAATTACATATTCTTGTTTTTGATATTGAAATGTGCGTACAATGAGTTTGTTATTATTTTGCATTGCATGCAAAAAATCCTTATAACAATGTCATACATATTGTGGAGAATGAAAATATTGTAGTATTGTCAGTTTTTATCATGCAGCCCCGATTATGATCCATACAGTCATTCATTTTTTAGTATTATATCTTTGTGATGCATGTCTTCAAAGCTTTCCCTCCGACTTCAGAAGGATGGCCAACATGAGAAAAAAACAAAAAACAATGCAAAGAAAAAAGAAAACGGCATGATTGATGTTTGTAAGAAAATAGAACTTTTCCATTTGATTTCACTGTGATTGTAACTGGGTCTGTTCAGCAAACCGGCACAAATTTTTAAAACTTTTACTTCCCGAAAAGTCTGATTACGGACGACAAGGACAGACGACAATATCCCAATTGCAAAAGGAAATAAACATGGTAAAACACAGCTACTCGCTTTCATAACCGGTGGCTATGAAACAACTCAGCATGATATCATAATTACACGACAGAAAAGGTCCTTCATGACTACATCTAACCTGAACTCATTCAGGGCTCAACCACAGGCTGGATAAGGAGAAAAGGGCTCGTCAAAGCCAGCGTTGCATTCAGTGTCCTACTCCACAGGTCAGGTCAGGTCTGACCTCACTTTACAAGGCACTTAGATTTCTTCTAAACGTATCATTCTTTAGGTGCTTTATGCGTTTTAACCTAAAAATGGGTTTTAATCCTAAAGCTACCTCGAAAAGCTCGTCCAGTCTGCACAATTCCTCTCTCCTGCTCGTGGCATATGCCAACCAAATGATTGGGAGGCTGGCCAGCCGGGCAGAGGCCTGCTGTGAAGCAGCTGGTGCGTCGGTCAGCCAGGCGGGCTCCTGTGTGTGTGCTGCCGGGAATTTAAACTAATCGCTTGGCCAACTACTCTGAGGTTACTCTGGTGACTGTGAAGCCGTAGAGGGCACGGGGAGACCGGGGCGCTCTGATGCTGCAGTCAGACTCAGATCCAAATATTTCCACTTTTTCCATTCCTAAAGCTGGTTGTTTTACAGCTCCGCAAAGAAAATATGTGCCTTAAAGTTCATATTTAAGTATGTGAGATACAAAGAAGCCTCTTGAATTTGCAAATGTGCATCAACCAGCTCCACGCAGACTTGAAACCTGGTCTGACTGAAGCATAAGAGCCAGCAGGAGTCAGATAGATTTAAAACCAGGTCTGACTGAAGCATAAGAGCCATCAGGAGTCAGATAGATTTAAAACCTGGTCTGACTCTATTATAAAAGCCATCAGGAGTCAGATAGCATCAGTCAGCAGATTGCATTCATTCCGGTTTAAGACAGCACTCGCCTTTGACTAATGCGAGATGAATGCGGCACAGTGAGAAATCTGAGAATGAATTATCTATAAATATAATCAGAATAAAATTAGGTATATTTGTGCAGAAGGTGGAAGTCTCTTTCGCTCCCTTTGTACACTTGTGCCAGCTTTATTTCTGGAAGCTATACCCTAAAATATATGGGTCAGAACTAAGAGCACATTTGGGTTTGAAAGGAGAAAACACAACAAAAAAAATCACTGGGTGGTTTTCAGCGTGCCTTTTCCCGGCTTAACCGGGAGTCGAGACGACTTTGACTCAGCAAATGAGCCCCCACCCCACCCGTCCAGGAGGCTGTCAGAGGCTGTCAAAACAAAAAAAACTTGAATTCGACAGAGGGAGAATGGAAAGGGCATGCAAAGGCGAGTAATGCAGGTACAGGGATAAAGACGCATGAAGGAGAGGTGAAGGCAAAGGAGATGGAAGGCAAAGTGGAAATAGAAAGTTAAGGCTAAAAGACACATGAAAGGAATGAGAACGAACGTTATATAATCACACAGAAGCAAATGCAGAAAGGAAGACAGACCCACTGCACCAGCACCACTATGACTTAACACACGAATCTTAAACAAAGTCCTTTCCAAACTCAAACCCATTAGTCACAGTTTAGCTCCCTCTTTCCGCACATATATTAAATCCCGTCCTGCTCGGCACACAAAAGGAAACAGCCGTCATCTCAGAGGATGAGCAGGGAACACCTCCTTTAGCTGCAGCTGGATGGCTGCACAGATCCTTTGGACTCTGCGGGGCCTCAGTCGGTCCCGCGGTTAAAGTGCTCCAGCACGGTGGCGTTAGTCCTCTCAAACTGCCACCGCTGGCTGGGGGAGGACGGGTCGCACGTGTTCATGAAAAGCCGCCGCTCTTTTGGGTTAGTGTCGATGCAGCTGTTGCTGACGGGATGATAGAGACTTTTGTCCTGGAAGATGAGAGGAAATAGGTGGATCAAAAGGTAGAAATCATACTTTGATAGTTTACATTGTTTACTTGATTTAACTTGAATAAATCATCATCCTTCTTCTGTGCAGAGGAGAGTTGGGAGGTCTCTATTTGAGAAAAACTCACTTTGAACCACAGCCAACATTATCATGCTTTTTTGCATCATTCAAGAGCATGTTTGTTTTTTTGTAGAGGAAATGCTTCCCCTGAATTTATTTAAAGTGCACAGGTGACATTTCATATTCAAATTAAAGTGAGATAAAACACAAATGTGGCTCCTGCCTGATAGGTTGAGCACCTTTCAACAACCTATTGAGGACCTATAATATCCATCTGATTGAGAATGGAATTCATAGAAATGTGCAAAGGTTTGCCAAGCAATAAAGCTGCCTTGAAGGGATTTATTTCTGAAATTGATAAGTGTGCAGCTTAGTTTAAAGAAACAGAGATAAAAAAGAGAGGTTGAAACAGGTGCTGACACCGAGCTGGCATACCTTTCTATAGCGCCACAGCTGGTTGCCCCTCATGCCGTGACAGTCATACAGGGTTATCTGGCTGTTATGGGAAATGGCGTCGAAACAGACTTTTTTAGTGTGCATGGGGTCCCCCACCCGGATGTCTTCTCTCCAGCCAAATGTGAACACCTGGGGGGAAAAAGAGTTGCACTTAGGGAATCACATGACATCACATCTTCAAACAGGTTTCCACGGGCTGCATAGCAGTGTGCTCTATATCCCAGCCGAGGCCAGTCTGTGTGGAGTTAGCATGTCCTGAACAACATTTACTCTGGGTTCTTCCCACCATCGGGTTCACGGGAACTCAGGTTCAACGGGATGCAGTTCTGCATGTCTGACTTTGGGTCTGATGGACACTTGTCCAGTGACAGCTGGGGTAGGTGTCACGGCTATGATTAGCCACTTAGCACAGCAGGGGTACGGCAGAGGAAGAGTTTACAGGGGTTGCAGACTACTGTGTGGTAATCCATGCAATGCAGAGCAGACTTCCACTCAAATTTTCAAGTTTTAAAATGAAAGAATAAAATTGGCAGTGAAAACCTGTCAGAGAAAAGGGTTCAGTTTCCAGGGGAAGCGGGTAAAAATGGACCAGAGCTGCTGAGGAAGCAGAGAGATTATGCAGAAGCTAAAGCAGCTCTAAAGGGAAAAAACAAACCCCCTTTCCAGCCAGACTGAGGGTCTTTTACAAGGAAGGCAGGGTGACCTACAACTGGGCGGATAAATCCAGTAAAGACCCTGAAAGACCCACCTTCCCTTTCAGATCCGATCAACCAGCTGTCCTGGAGATCGAGCGGAAACCAGAAAACGATGCATGGCTTCGCAGAATAACTCCAAAGATTGTTGTGTCAGGACAAAAAATATGTACTGAATACATAAGGAAGAATTGAGCTGACATATGAACATCCCCACTTGACTTGAAATTGACATCTTTAGAAGAATACACAGGTATTCCCTGCTGGTCTGTGTGGGTTATTTCATTCATAGTAGGAAAACAATGACACGGGCATAAGGGATGAGGTTTTACAGTCAGAACATCTGGCACATAACTGACCTGTCCAACAGCGTAAAGAGTGAAGAGGGCCATTATCAGATCCAGAACATGAAAAACTTATAAGAAGGGTATTTAATGAAGATTCCTCGTCATATAGACATGGCTCAAAGATTGGGGTGGTTTTTGGTGAGCCTTTTGATCAAGTCATTGTGGACTGGCTGCTATGTGCACTTCGACACGTTTCCCAGAAGCCGTTGCACTCAGAAGAATAACTGTTCCTCTGGTGATCAAAACATTGACAAAGTTCTTCAACACTTTTGGTCGACCAAAAGTGGTCCAGATAGATCAGGAAACAAGTTGCTGTCTTAACCTTTCGAGCACCTTTCAAGCAGGTCATGCAGACTCTTGGGATTAAACATGTTGGGTCAAGTGCTTACCACCCTGAGTCACAAGGAGCTCTAGAGAGCTTTAAGGCAATGTTGCAGAAATCGTGAGGGATGCTGGAAAGGATTGGGATGCAGGCGTGCCCCTGATGGTGTTTGCTATCTGTGAAGCTAAGCACGAATCGCTTGGGTTCAGCCCAACTGACCCCGTGTTTGGTCAATCCGTTCGAGGACCTTTAAAGCTGCTTAAAAAACAGTTCATGTCAAACGACCATAATGCTAATTTTCATAGGTACTGTTTTCTACATATCTCCCTTACTTGACGTGTGAACAGTGATTAGCTATTGAAGAGCTTCTAAATACTCATCCAAAACTCTTTTTCAAAAGCCTTTCGCTAATTACAGTGAGGTTGTGAAGGCAGCAAAAAATCCTGTCCTTTCAAACACTGTAATGGCCAATCAAACACATAAGCTGGTTACTTCAAGTATAAATCTTGGAGCATGTCACTGGAGGAAGAACTGTGAAGACTCAGTGGGACACAAAAACAACCAGCGATTTGATGTGACAATAAGGCAAAGATGAAAACAAAAATAGATTTAAGTAACTTTTGAATTAGTCCAAAAAGCTTGTATTTGCATTATTAATTCTGGTGGTTTGTGTTGCTCACCTGTCCATGACTCCAGCTTACGTCTCCCCGATTCTTCACACAGCTCTCCAGGCGGACGGGGCTGCCAGAGACAAAGTGTTTGGTCTCCATACACATACTGCTGCCCACGTTGCGTATCTGCAGCACAAAAACAAACGGACGACCCAGAACGTATAGGTGTTAAGAAACAGAAAATCTTCTCAGCTACGAGACCAAACAGTGTCTAATGGGGATCCAAATCTTGTTTGTAGAATCACAAAGGATAATATGAACCAAACTGTAAAGGGCAGTGTAGTCAGAGGCCCACTGTTAGCTTGGTTTGTTTGAAAAATAGCATGATTTCTGTAGCAACAATAAAATCACGTCTTCAGTCAGACTGTTACAGCTAAAATGTCAACTTATTTTGAAAACCATTACAAGTTGTTCTAATCCGTCTTCCATAGAGAAACGACAACACTTTACATGAGATAATATGACAGAGAGAAATAATGGTGAGTTTAAAAAGAAGCTGGAAGAAAGTGATTTCCAATAGAAAAACAGGATCCTGGTATCTCATTGACTTTTTCCATCTGATAATTACAGCTTTAATTTGAAACAAAGACGGGTTCCCGTACCTCTCCCCAGGCAGCGGCGGGAGGCTCCACGGGGGGGTAGTGCTTGGGCAGATCCCAGGCCACCTCCTTCATGTACCACCTGAAGTTCTTACAGTTCAGATTGCTCCGCAGCTCCTTCTGCTGAGTCATGTCTCCAGCGGAGAGGTGGCGGTACTCGGGCCGGCGCTGGTAGATGTACTCCGCATACTCGTCCATCCACACCTCTGCCACGCGCTTTAAATTCTGAAAGCACAATGGGATCATGTTTTACCTGCCTCATCCTTAAGCACATCTCAAATATTTACGTGACAGGTATTTTTTAAAGAAAAACTGGAATTTGATTGAATTCATTTAGTGTCAAGTACCAAAAATTACCTAAAGCCACTTTAAAGATTTCAGTCTTTAAGTTTCTTGAGGATCCACCTTAAGGTGAGGGAATCTGCTGAGCTAGGCAACAATTCTTTCTTTTTTCCCTAAGTAAATCCAGTCATATTTAACAGTCATCACTTACATTTTTATATTTCTTATCATTTTCCATGTAATTCTTACAATGATTAGGAATTATGTGAATACGTAAATATCAGCGATTGATATCACCAAACGATCACAAATCTCTGGCTGTTAGCTGCATTTCTAGGCATCGCAGCTTCACCAAAACACAGGAAAACACCATCATAAAAGCATGGCTCCTTTCATGGTGTCTTGACTGATACGAAAAGACAGGATGATCATAGCCTCCCAATCAGAAGGACCTGCATCATACCTCCCCAGGCAAGGGATAGCAAAATGAATACTTGTTTCTTTGTATAGGAAATATCCTACGCTTAATCATCTGCCCTTTCCACCATGGATTTACAAAGGCCAGTGATCTTGTTTTTCATGACCATATCATAACTGGATGTAAAATCTTCTTTTTTGATAACGTCTTGTGAAGAATTTGCTTAGGTGAGCAAAAACACCCAATAGCTCTAAGCCTAGGCTGCTGGGGGATCTGCACCTGTTTAACTATTTACTCTTTACTCTCTACGTACATGTTACAGTGTTTTTATCCATTAACTTATGTTTCGCATTCCTGGTTTCGATCCGATTTTGGTTTCTCCTGTAGTGAACCTAATACTCGACCAACCAAAAAGAAACATTCAAACTTATGCGGCCTCTTAAAGCCACTCTGTTAAATTCAGAAATCTCCAGAATTCCCAGAAATGTCAAACCAGCAGCAGATTCCTCAAGGGCTCCTTTTAGCTGAGCTTGTGAAAATATACACGTCTGATGGGAAATCTGCCCATGTTTAAGGGGAAAGCAAAGCTGATATACATCGCAGAAATACATCTCTTCCAGTCTTTTAGTGAGATATAGTTAAAAGATCTTTCACTATCTTCTAACCAGACAAAAAAAAGTATGATATTGTTGGAGAACAATTTGTTTGTACATTATAAAAATACATGGTAAATAATAGCTGTAAAATGTCAGCAAAATCAAAGTGATCCTTTTAAATGATGATTCGTTTATCATGGAAAGCTACAAGTGTGGGATAGAAATTATTTCGCCTGAAGTTAACATTCAGACTGGGCTTGTTTTCTCTTCAGGAAAAAGTCCCCATTGTGGTGAGTTCTGCATAAGCAAACACAAAGGTGCAGGGCTAATTTAAAGTCTCTATCAATTCAATGATTTTCTGGAGAAAATCATTGGTAGAGCAGTAAGGCCTGCTTCTTAAGGGTCAGTTTGATTTACATGTTAGATAAGGGAGGAAAACAGACTGGGTCTGGATTCTGCCTCCATATACCTGAATGGGAGGTTGCGTGAAAAAGAGCAGCTCTGATTTACTTTCAAAGGTAATTGTAATTTAAGATGGTGTCTGTTTTTTTGTTGTATTTTGTGTTGGAGTTCTACTGTTGCCAGGGAGTCAACTTACAGGAATGCTAACGGCTTTTTAAAAGAGTTAGCTTCATCATAATCCACATGATTACAATGAAGCTACAATTAATTAATTTAATCCAAATCAAAAGTTTTCCCTTTGGCTAACAACTAACAGCTTGACTAGTACGTTCAGTGAAATGAGGCAGTACAAAAAAGGAAATCAAAAATCCATTAAAACATTCAAAAATAACACAGAGATCAGAAATCTGGGCCGCTAGAGGTACAGCATGTAGCTTATGTGGAGTAAATTCTGTTGGCCAGCACTCAATGCCGTCACTCTACTGCGTAATTGGTCATACCGGGAAGACCGCAGCACAGGCCAAGGCGTTTGATCACATATTCAAGCAAGCCAGCCAGGGTCAGATGTCAGAGTGAGTCACATAATGAGCACCATGCAGCCACAGGTCAGTGGAACATTCCTCACTCAAAGATTAAATGTTAAATATGTTGTGAAATGGAGACTGTGTACAGAGATGTATGAAGAAATCTAGAGCTGGTAGGTGAAGAATACAGAGCTTCTTACCACTTGTTCAACTGACAATGATAAAGTATGTGGTGGTGGCCATCTACAGCTTTCTTTGTGGTTTATTCAAGAAATACAATTTGTACATGGTTGACATGGTTGACATGCCGATACAAGTTAATAGCTGAAATATTCAAAGGCAACTCATTGTCAGAAGCCACAAACTATTGATATTTTGTTTTGAAGGAATTACACCTTTTACTTAAAGATTTCAATTTTTTCTCCTGGCATGAAAGCACACGACACACTCAGGGTATTGATTATGAGATCTTTACAAGGGCAGAGGGTGAAAAGCAACACACCATGATGCTGGGCTGAATACTGTAATGTGAAATAATGAAGTCTGAGACTTACCCTGGCCAAGCTGACACCCCCTGGAACTTTGTAAGGGACATACTTCCTGTAGATGTGTCCCACTCGCGAGCAGGGGGTGTCCTCCATCCGACCCCCACACATCCAAACCTAAAATAACAGGAGTAGCAAAGAGATGGTGCCTGTCAAACATTGTAGCGTCATGTAGTTTTTATGGACCTGCTGACACCAAAATTACTCCTTAAAAAATAACAAAAAAAGGATGAAGGTTAAATTTACATTACATATGCCATTTAGCAGATGCTTTTATCCAAAGTGACTCACATGGATCATTAACAACAATTAACATCCAGTACATTTTAGAGAACTATTTACAAATACAGAATTCTAAAAATAAGGGTTTGCTAGAGGGAGAGCGCAGATCTTAAGGCTAGTTTGGTACAGCTCATGACATACAGCAGAAACAAAAAGCGGGATGCGTGAAAGGAGCATGAAATTAAAGGTAGTTAGTGGTCGGGTTGTTATGACAGGAGGTAAGTGATGGAGAACCAGATTTTGATCACATGATAACAACTCAGCCTTTAGGGACCATTCGATGAAATGTGTCATTAGTCCAAGCATAAATAAGAATACAATGACTTGGATTTTTCGTGGAATATATTATTATTTTGTGTTTTGAAACAGTAACATGTCGGGAAAAAGGTAAGTCTAATGCACACTAAGCAGGTAGAGGCTGTAATGTAGAGAAACTAAAATATCCAACAGCGTTACCTCCACAATTTAGGATAAATAACATACATATAAACATTTTTTATGTTGAGTGATTACACACAAAGATGAAAACCACTGACAGATAAAGTAAATAAAACATTTTGTCTTGTTTTAGTGCAATGCTTTGTTAGCACAGACTGCATAAAGAAAGCTTTGAATTTACCCGCTTACTAAATATTTCCAATGTGCAATCACACCACCATATGGTACCAGTACCCCCTAAAAGTACTCTCACAGAGTCAGGCTATTGATTATGTTAATCAGTAGTGGAGGTAAAAATGTGTCTTTATCTATTCTTTTCTTTAAAAAGTACCTTAAATGAGATTTCATACTGTTCTCCTCCCCAAATCTCCAGACCTGTGTCATATCCTCCCAGTTCCCAGAACCACTTCCTGTCAACAGCAAACAGTCCACCTGCCATCACTGGTGACCTACAAAAAGGAGACAATACACAGACACATATTACTTAAGACTAAATGATTTTCTTACAGAAGTGATAGCGACTGTCAAAGTGGGATCTCAAACCCTTTAATGTTATATGTATCATATTTGATACATGGATTTGTAAGAACTATCGCTTCATATATTCAGACCTTTGTTATAAAAAAGTGGAATATGCAATATCTTCTCATTTAGTTTCTATTAGAACTATGCATCAAATATTGATTACATTTACATTGAAATACATGAACTTGAATTATACATTTGTTTTGTTTTCCTTTAAATAATTTTTTTAATCTAAATTCAGGATTAAATTGAAGAGCTATCACATGTCAAGTGATTTCCACTATGGTCAACGGTCAAACCGGTGAAAAATATCAAAATACAAAGACAAAAATGCTTTATTGTCTCAGGCAACCATTTGGTTTCCATGTGTCCATTTGGAGTCCCCAAATGTCCTTTCTGGAGTTCTGCCTGACACTGCAATCTTTTTCAAGTTTGAAACTGGTGTTCACCGATAGTGTGCCATCAGCCCAAAACTGTCTTTTACCCCCTTAGATGAAAGCACAGATAGTTAGTTAACCTGAAAAAGGTTATAGTATTTTAGGTGGACCCAAAGCTTAGATATATACATAACATGGTTTCTGAGAGTTTCACATGAAACTCCAGAGTTCTCTTTGTGGAGAGACCTTATGCGTCCATGTAGCCAGAGCTGTTCAGAGGTTACCGTCATTTGAATTTTGGTCATGTCATTTTAAAAAAAATGTGGTCGGATGCGAAGGGATAAAGTAAGTGCAATCATATATTCAGGACAAATGTTCCTTCCAAATATAGCTGTATCAAAAATAATTGCACTTACTCAAAAGGTTCGCTGGGGTCATCCTTTTGCAGCTCTGAGGGGATTGGGATCCGCTTGTAGTACATTTCCCAGTCAAATGCCCCTCTCATGGCGTCCCCCGCCTGCGTTTCGTACCCAAAGGTGTCATGGTCGATGACATCGATCATGGGACACACAATAGTCTTCCTGTTCTGGGCAATTCGGTCTGAGACACATAAGGTTTGACATGTTGGTAGAAAGTTATTAACAGACTGTTTTATCTGTAGCCAGAGCTCCAACAGTGAAACATTTCCAAGTGTATGTGTCTGAACAACCTGTCCTTCTCACTGGATTTAGTATCTTCTTGAATATATCATTTCAAGGAGTTCAGCGATACAAAACAAACTCAAATTCGAGCCTCATCTAATGTTAAATAACCACAGAAGCTCGGTATGCACTAGTCGCTGCCCTGTAGAGACATGTACAATCCACCTGCTTAACTCTGGAGAAATTCCACAAGCTGGAAAAATTTCAGAGTAAACTATCGGTGCATTCATAATCCAACCAATTAGAGGGAGGTATGTGTCTGTTGGCACCTCAGGTAGCAAGAACCCTCTCCCTGCGGTGTTTATGAACTGTTGCTGGTACTCAAATTGAGAAAATGTCTCATGATCATATATCTTGTTTGTTTTTAAGAATATAGTCTTTCTAGTTGAGGTCGATAACCCAAATGGATGACAAATGCCCGCTGCATGTCTTCCATCATCTTTATTTAATACCAAGGTCTTGTTATACATCAGAGTCAATCCATCCAACATTTAGACCCAATATGTATTTGAATATCAAGAAAAATAAAATGAGTGCAAAGGCAGATATAGAAAGATGCTCTTCAAGGAAAGTGTAATAATATTACTTGTACCAAACTGCACTGACCATTAATGTTCTCCTATGTTTGGAGCAAAGGGCTTAAACCACCAAACTAAAGCTTTCAATGTTGAACACGCCTCCAGATTCGTCAGATTACTGTGATGCTCAGGACCTACCCAGCAACGGAGGCAGCCAGTTGACATTGGCTTCACAGTGAGAGTCCAGGAAAGTGATGACTTCTCCCTTAGCAGCAGTGGCTCCCAGCAAACGCGTCCTGATCAGACCCTCCCTCTTCTTAGTCCTCAGAATGCGAACCTTATCTAACCGGACCATGTACTCCTCTAAGGGCACTTTCAGATGCTCTGAAAAGAGAACAGGAGAAGCAGCTACGTTAAAATGGTGAGACTACCAGAGTATTCAAAGTGGAAACTGACAAACCTGGGAATTGTTTTAGAGAGCTGTCTACAACATGCATTGCCTTTACAAAGGTAGATCAGATCTAAAGATACACAAACCCTTTTGGCATCACCATTGAACAAGTTCTATACCTCTACCTTATGCTCTCAAAGCTTTATCTAAAAAAGACAACCAAAAAAATCATTCAAACCCTACACAGTCATATTATATCTTTGCGAGACAAAATAGTGAGGACCATGAATGCCGATTTCTTTTCCTGGTTGATCTAATTCATCAAGTACAGACGGTGTGAGAAAAGCAGGAATACTAGACTTTGGCAATTCCTTACAAACCTCAAGCCAAAGCTTGTGAACAGGTTCACAAAACAACAAAGAGTGCCAATGATCATGATGTTTGACTGGGTAAGACGTATCCTGAACATCCCTTGTCCTGAATAAGAATTCCTCTTCTGAAAATGAGTATTTTTCATACTAAAGGGGGTCATTTAAACTTCAAATATTAGCAGCAAATACCCCAAACGTCAGAGTTTCTGGGCATTATCTGTGTGCAGTATCACGGGTGTTTTTTCCGTGTACCTTTGTCACTGAAGTCGTCGACCAGGATGACCTCGGCGATGAGCGAGGGAGGAGAGCGGTTGAGCACGCTGTGAACGGTCCTCAGCAGAGACGACCAGCCCTCGTTGTGGAAGGGGATGATGATGCTGGTGTTGGGCAGCTTCTCTGCATATAGCTTCTTTTTACAGCTGCACAAACACACAAAACCAAAAAGCAAATGAGAGGGACGTTAAAGCAATGTCTTGCCAACTTGATCTTTACAGCTTGTCATTAAAGAAGAAAGTGTATCGTGTAATAATCTCATATTGAGAGCTGAACAGTGGTTCTGACACAATAAAATGTGGTTCCTGGCAATATTCATGTTGGAACACCAATTCATTACACTAAAAACAGGAAAGTAGATGAATATTAGGAGAAAATTGTGGAATAAGAGCTGCTGTAAAAGTGTGATATTAAGTGATTCTCACGAGGTTTCCTGTGCAATTGGTTTGTGCGAGAAGCATAGTCATATATAATTCTCTAATTTCTTTTTACTTTTTGGTATGAACATGAATACATGTCTTTATTAATATAAAAATCTGAAGTATATATCATTCTTCAAACCAATATCTTACCATTTTTAAACGGTAATTGAAACAATAATAAAGCATGATGGTAAAGGACGTCCAACTGATATGAGACTTTGAGGCTTAGAAATAGCTATTCACAGACCATTCTTTGACTGTTTCCCCTTCACATATGCTGTCTGTTTTCATGGTGCGGATGTACCACAAATCTCTCTCGATGTTAATTGCTTTAATCTGTACCGTTCTCCAAGCTAGCAATGTAACCATAACTACAGTGTGTGCAGCTGTTCATGAGTACAAACTCCTTTTTCATCTGTGGTGATATTTATGACTATTCACTGGAAAGAAGGATTGAGCAAAATCTGTCAGACTCTTAGCACATATGAAGTTTCTTTTACTAAATCAAAACTGTAACATGAGATGTTGAATTTATAATTCTTACAATTTCCCACTTCCTGCTACTGTATAGTGCAGACATTTTCTGCTTACTCCTGTTGTTTTGCCAATTTATCATTCTAAATCATTCTACATTTAATTTCTTAAGATCGATATCATCATTTTTATTCTTTTCACAATGAATCTATCAAGCTAGTACTTAAATATATTTCTGTGAAAACTGTTGGACATATAAACAAAAAATTATTCGACTACAAGCAAGGAATTTCTGTACAGAAACCTTATGCCACTCTCCCCGTGGAATCCAGTGGTAAGGCTTCCATATTTAACTTCCAAATAAAAGGTGAATGAACTGCTACTTACAACTTAGAGCTAAATAATACCTTGTCTTTTCCCAGACTATGACTCTGATTTTTAGCACTGTCAGAGCAAAATGTGACTAAGTTTAACAAAAAGAAAGAGAACAGGATGCGGCAGGTGGACAGAATTACTGTGCTGTGTGTCAAAAACACTCTTGTGCTTGGAGATGGAACCATTTCTAATATAGACATTAACAGTGTGGTTACTTGCAGTTATCCGAACGCTCTCTAAACGAGCTGTAAGACAGCCACTGCTTGAGTTCTGATTAGAACCAGGAGACATGATCAAACTAGTCCAGCGCTGAGGTCTCAGAGTCCATCTCTGACATGTTAGAGCCACATGCACAATACTCTGAGAACCTCAGGTTCTGGTCTCCAGCTGGGGCCCAGAGTCAGAACCAAACGAGGACAGCCTTCATTTCAGTTTTAAGAAATGAAGCTTTGTAAAAATATTCTTCAAGAGTCATATCATCCAGTTCTTCCGTGTAAGTCACCTCTGACATGGCAGCAGGCTGTACCAAAGCACTTAGAAACTTGGCCTCCACAGGCTTGATATTTGTCCAATCCAACACAATATTTGTGCAGGCGACAGTGTTTGTGTAATCATCCCCAGGATGCTCTTTTAATAGCCGTTTGGTCCTTTGATAATGCATCTCCTTCTGCTTTATGTCGCACGGAGGATGCACATTTCCACTTGCCTCACAAATCCACGAAAATGGATTCATTTAGGCTCAAACCACAAACTGTTTTCCTTCTCTGGCTCTTTATGTGCACATTGTTGGGGAAAACTAAACAAACAAACAAACAAACAAACAAGACTTTTACGGATTTTGTCTGTTATAGAAATGTGTCATACTTTTCTCTTGGATATGGTGAGAAGAAAAGACTTGTTTGAATGCAGTTACCTCACATACAAAATGGTGTATTTCAATAGAAAATAAATCAATGGCTCTATGTTGCTATATGGATTGTTTGATCAAAGTTTCTTCAGTTATTGACGTGATTAGAAATGTCATCATTTAATGTAAAGAGTCATTTTCACGAGTGTTTTATTTTTATAACTTACACTACCTCCTTGAAAACCAAAATACAAGGCTCGATTTATTTGCATTTAATGTTTAACATTATAAAAAGCGTGTCACTGAAGATGGATGAAAATTTAACAAATGAAACAATTAAAAGGTAAGCTTAGGATGTGTGGCTCTGAAAATTCTTCATAATCCTTATTCCTACAAAAGCAACATTTCATAGCATGCAAGCTTTGCAGAACAGAAGGGCCTTCTAGTTAATCAGTCGTTCATAAAGTTACTAACTCACTTTGGATGGCGGATATCGGGGACAGAGCGGTTCAGGGAGATCCTGTCGCTGACGTAGATGTTAAAGCCATTCTCCCTGTAGGCCTGGTCCACCTTGTCGGCGTCCGTCAAGGGAAATGGTTTTCCCTGCTCACCGTTGCCTGCACAGAACACACATCATACTGTCAGAAAAAAGTGCATCATGTAAAAATGAAATGCGGTTCCTTCTGAGGAACAGCCTTACAGGCAGAGTTAACTCTGGAATAGATCTACATCTACATCCACAGTGAAAGGCGTCAATTTACATGATTTGGTCACCTCATTAGGATGCCTTGGAGATTATCTGGACATGTCCAGTTGGGAATAAATCACAGGGCATAAACAGTATTCACCGGTGGGGTTAAACTGTATGGGAACATCTCGGGACGAGCTTGGATGAGGGATATCTTGGTGTCTCTCTCAGACCCGTTTCCCACAAGATACAACATTATCAGTGGATGGATTAAACTGAGTAATTGTGCAGATGAAAGAGCTGTTTCAAATGTGAGGAGCTGACTAAGCTCTCCAAATGTGAACTGATGTCCAAAAGAAAACCCCAATTCTTGGAGCAAGATAGTGAAAGTGGTGGAGAAAGTTTTAACCATCCTGTTGTCTTATGAGTGTGAGATGATAAGAGAAAAAAAAGGACAAACCTGGATTGATTAAGAGGACACGGTAAGAAAAATCAAGAACACGAAACAATATTTTTGGCAAATACTGACCGCGATCCTTTTTAGCTTGGAGTTTTTGTCTACATTATCTGCAGAAGTTCACCTGCATTACTCTGGTAGCATCCGTTTCCACGGCAGGTAATACGTTAATTATTTATCTAACAGTTCTACTGAAACGTGAACTTTAGGTACAAACGGGAAAGGTGGCTAGAGGCTTGCAATAACAGGGAGCTAAGTCCAAAGATAAGATGTACACTAAACATTAAATATCAAACAAAGGGATAAAGGGATAATATAAGGTGTGAAATGAAGGTGCACGATGAATGAGACGTAAATAAGGACGCTTGAATCAACAGATCAATGCAGGAATGCTGAAATTAAAGTAAGAAATCACCTACAGACACTGCACCAGTACAGCCAGAGGCCCAGGGGCCCAAAAGGACCTACACAGAACGGCAATCTGGGATTCTGCAGCACATCCTCATGTAAGCCTCAGTCAGGAGAAGGTTTCTGGTAGGGACTACAGACCAGTCGCAGAAATATTCCACATCACCAGAGTCCTAAAGAGGCCACTATTTGCCCAACCCAGAGACCAACTGACCTACTCTCAACTGTATAAAATCAGAAACAGAATCAGAATCAGAATAAGGTTTATTGCCAAGTAGGTTTTTAGACTTACAAGGAATTTGCCTTGGTGTTTGGTGCACAACACAACACTTCTATGAGAAGCAAGAAATAAAATGAAATAACTGAAACAAGAAATAAAACGGACAGTTAAAACAATATCTTTGATTTTATTCAATGCAATCTCTGCAGCATAGAGACAATGCCTCCCCTTTCACCTGGATTATTAACTACCCTATAAACAGACCAGGTGTGTGAGACTAGAAGCTTCTGTATCTGAAAGGACAGAAACCAGTTCTGTTTCTCTTGACTCGTACACTAAAGACTTCCACCACACCACCAGAGTCCTGTCGTCCTCAGGAATCCTCGGATGACTGAGCACTTGTGGAATGCAAATAATGCAAAGAAAACATTACGATGTATATAAGAAGGACCAGAAATAAGCCACACACTTGTGCTAAAACACAACATCAGCTCCAGACATTCTGTCTTTGCACATTCTTGATTTTTTCTAATGGGCTTATTTATTGTTCCATGTTAGTTTCCATTGAGGTACACAAATGCAAAGGATCCAATAAAGATGTGTACATTGTAGTACTTTTCTTTTTCCTCAGAGCACTGAACAGAACGCAGCTTATTTGGAAATCAAGACCTTGAAAGTGAACTCATTCAATGAGAATCATAACAAACCAGCAGCACTTTGCGGCATCACCGTTTTTTTCAGTTTGCCCTCATTGGCATCTACAGCTAAAGCCAGGAGATATTATACCTCCAAGTCCAATCAGGCATGTGCAAAACTGCCACAGACTTGTTCTTGAATGTAGAAAAATGTTAGCTCTGACCTGAACAGCCTCACTTATTCACTCATCCCATCCATTCTGTGTGAAATCAAAGGTTGGATAAAGTTGCATATTTAAACAGTAACATTTTTTTTTTTTAAATAATTGTAGTTCTAAACATATTTATAGTTTTTTTCTTACATTTTATCTCCACTATTATTCATGTCCTCCACAGCTTCTTTTTTTTTTTACAATAACATCCACGTGATTATTTATGCAATTCAGGCAATGGCAAATCTAAATGCTGGTAACTTTTATGACCACCAAATGCTGATTTATTTAGGAATAGTCAGCAGTACCAGTGAAAGGCCCATGCAGTCCTGCTCATAATGGCAAAGAGAAGCTGAGAGGCTGACAGCACTTAGATTGTTTTATGTAAGCAAACAAAACGGTGAGCACCAACACACCGACGTGGCCATGCATGGCGCCATCTTGGATAAGCGGCAGAGTCATATAAATCATTAAATCGTTTTATAGTTTATTGTTAGTGTTTTGTGTGTTTAACCCACCAATTAAGTTTCCCCTTTCTCTCGCCAAGGCATTTTGTTTGAGTTAGCAGTTATTTTACATAAAATTTTGTTTTAATGAGCTAATTTTCCTGTTTTTGTTTGTTTTTTATGGTTAAGTTAAAAAAAAAAGTACCTCACTTTTTTCTCTTCTCGTTTCATTACACAGATCGATCAACAGAGCATGAAGTGACGCTGAAAATTGGGGATGCCAGTGATACCAGGAAGAGACATTCAAAATCATTACTTACAGCCCAGTATCAGTTTGGAACAGAAGGATTTCATATGTTGAAATTGATGAAAACTGTGGGATCCTTCCAAATAGAGACTCCGTGGACATGCCGACTCTTCACAAACAGGCTGATCTACTTTAATGCTTCGTAACTAACACATTTAAATAAGATCCTTGCAGATGAAGTTCACTAGGTCAAGTGTTTCTTACAGACTGCAGGTTAGTCTGGGATATGTTTGTAGTCCAACTGGTTGCTTGACTCTGCCAGTTACACATTTTAAAAGAAAACCATCATTTTCAGAGATGGCAAGAATTTGAAATTAACTCAGAACAAAACAAACTCAACAGCACCTCAGTGATCATCACTTCGATTACGTTTTTGCTGAGTTTCCTGATTGGAACATTTTTTATCCGAAAGCACCTGAAAAGAAGAGAGCAGCTCTCCAGACTGGAAGATATTTTGAGAGATACAATGGAAACATGACAACAGATGTGAGAGGCAGAACACGAAATGATGTAAGTACAGAGGACCTCTACAGTCACCTATTCTAAACTGGTCCTCACACCCACCTCCTCCAAATCACACAACCCTTCACAAAGGTTTTTGGGGGGCACATACAGGTGTGGGGTGTGGAGTCCTCCCAGCTCTACGTCTGCCTTCTACTTTCACCTTAAATATTGCACCTTACACTAAAGGCGTTAGTATAAATTGGGCAGGGCTCCTTCAGCCTTGTGCTGCACAGCTGCCTGCACTTCACTATTAGACATCAGGGCCTTCAGGGGGGAATTCTGGGTAAGGTCTCCATCGTTGGCTAGCAGTGGGCATAGCTCTGCAGCATTTCCCTCCACTCACATTTCACACATCCTCACACACACCAACAACCAGGAAGCACGGGGAAGGAGAGGTAGGGCTTTACAAACTAGGGATGGGAATCTTCACCACCAAGGCGATACGATACACATCTCGATACACAGCCAACGATTCGATACATTCACGATTCATGGAATTTCTAGTGATAAGATTCGATACGATTCTCCAACCTCCTGCGATCCGGTGCGATACAGAACGATCTAAATTTAAAATGCTGCGATACAGTGCGATACGATACGATACAATACGATTAAATTCAATTCAATTCAATTCAATTTTATTTATATAGCGCCACATCACAACAACAGTTGTCTCACAGCGCTTTCCAAACAGAGCAGGTCAGACCTACTCTGAAGTTAACTACAGAAACCCAACAATTCCCACCATGAGCAAGCACTAGGCGACACAGGCAAGGAAAAACTTCCTTTTAACAGGCAGAAACCTTGAGCAGAACCATGGCTCAGGGTGGGCGGCCATCTGCCGCGATGCAATGCAGAAGAAAAGTACACCATGGACTACATAGTTCAAGTTATGGCACGCAAGCTAACTGTGCCTTTTATTTTGAAACAAAGGAAGTGCAACTTAGAGAGTGATTGTCTCTCTGAATGGAAACAGGGATGGAAAGAAACACAACTAAAACTCAAAGACACGTTTCTAAAAAGTTATAATAATAGAAGATAATAATCGGTTTGTATCGATGCAGGTAGTTTTATACGATGCATCTCGAGTTTATGTGCGGTTTTTACCGATACAGACGTTTGCAAATCGATGCAACCGTATCGCACAGGTCGTTCCGATGTTCCGATACGCATCGGTGAATCTTGCCATGCCTATTACAAACGTATGTCCTCAAGTAGTCCTTCCACATCTCCAGGAGGAGGGACTTGGATGTGACACAGAGGTCACAGGTAATCAAGTGTGTGCATAATTGAATAAGGGATGTATGAGGGAGGGAAAATGATGAGGAGAGGACTCACCGGATCGAGAGGAGTCTCTCCTAATTGCTTCATAGTCGTGCCAGTCTTTTCTTCGCGTGCCATGAGGTCCTACCTGAGCCTCCTTCCCCATCCGGTTTATCCCCTGTGAAGAATCACAAACACAGGGAAATCGTTACGAAAAGCTTAAACAAAGAACTGAAAAGATAGCCCAACCAACCCTTCCTGTGTGTCAGCTACAGGTACATTTTTTTTTTCTACACCAGCCCAAATGCATGGGCTTTGGACTTTTTCATAATTCCCTTCGTTTTGCAATTGTTTTATTCTTATGGAAGTACAGCAGGCTTTGGACATTTTGTTAAGAAAAAATTAAAGCCACAGTGAACATAAAAACATAAAAACAGTTAACATAAAAAATAAAAAAAAATCAACCTGTAGTTTCAAAATACCAAAGGAAATAAGAAGTAACAATGAAGTGTAAATCTTCTAGTCTTTTTTAGACATTTTTATGAAAGTATGAAATATGTGACATTGAAACACTTTAAATACAAA